AGGCCCAGCGAAGAGATACAAGAATCTGTAAGTTCGGGAAGCAATCCCAGACACTGAATTCCACTCTTCCCAAGAAGAACCTTCGAGTCAGCTGGGCTTATTGCCCTTCTTGGAATCTGGCCCATCGGCCTTGTCACCTCTGTTCTTACACTCGCTGCGGGGATGTGGCTTAAGACAAAGTTGACACACATGAACGCGCCCACAATTTCCCGGACAAGACCCATTGTTGTAGCCATAGCAGATTTCGCGACCGTCAGGAGTCTTGCGGAAGACGAAGCCATTCTTGGAAGGCTTACCAAGAAACTTGCCCTTGCCCTTCCCCTTCCCTTTGCGATCACGGTCCCAGCTAGGATCAGGGGTTGGCGGCGGCGGCGCCCCATCAATCTTCTGAAACTTTGCAGGCGGCCCGGCTGAGAACGATGCACGCGAAGCCATCTCCATGGCCAAGGGCCCGACGAAATAGGTCTCTTTGAGCATGGCGTTGTCCCTGGCCTCCTTGAGTGTGTCGGTCAAGGATCGATTGTTTCGGCTGGCCTGCTTGTAAGCCTCCTTTCTGAAGCGATGTTCGTAGTTAAGTACAAGTTGCCAAGAAAAATTCGCCCAAGACATAGCGGGACCCCCTTCAGGACGTACTGTCTGCAACAAGTAGATCTTGTCGCCCAGTACGTAGTCAACATGCAGAAGAAAATCCTTGGAGCTCAAGCCCTGAAACCATGCTTTGTTGCGAAAGCGTGCGGCAAGCATCAGAAATGTGTGAGCCTCCACTCGAAGCCTCTGACGGAGCTCTTCAGACCCGGTCGGTAGCTTGGCCTTCTTGCGCTCCTTAGTGAGGCGCAACCTGCCGGAGGAGTCCACGGACGACTGGAAGTTAGCGTTCACTTCATCCACCGTACAAGTAACTTCATCCAAGAGCGAAGCCTTGATTTCTCCAGCCTCAACCTCCTCCATTTTCAATGCCAGGTAAGTTGAGCTAGGTTCTTCACGATCTTCCAAGGATCCTAAAGAAGCTTCAAGAGCTACACGCATGGCCAGACGATCATTGGCTGGAAGGGGTTTTGGCAACCCCAAAACGTGTGCCTCTGCCTTGAGCTTTCTCTCCTGCTCCGTGGTGTCCAGAGCGGATTGCCAGGCAGCAACCAGTCCTGCCAGAGCCGCCCGGCCGGCCGCATTGTCCGGATCCACCGTTACATCACTGGCGAAAGCAGCTCTCGCACCAGCCCGTGTGTCGGCCAGTGCAGCGAACCTGACCATGGAACGGTAATTCTGCCCCAACTCGTACTGGTGTAGCAGAGAGACATTCAGCTCCTCCCAAAGATAAACCAAGTCGGCACTAACATTCTGTGCCAAGAAGGTCCTTCGATTCTCATCTGTGAGCGCCATCCCTCACTGAAATCCTACGGATCTCCCTCGATCCAAGGGCACCCTTGCTTGGCTGCCACTCACATACGACCTTCCCTTCGGCCGTGGCAGCTGCTCAAACCATATGCCAACATTCGGCAGAAGACTGCAATGATTGACGCAAAAGGAAACAGGCACACTCGAGTCAGCAACATGACAGCGGCAAGCACTGACACGGCGCACAAGTGCGGTAAATTTTTCCTCGAGGTAAGGACCGACCTGACGCACAAGTGCGGTAAATTTTTCCCCTCACTCAAAGGAAGGCGGCCCATCCTGAAGATTGCCCTCCTCAGCAACCCCTTCACTCTCCTCCGTAGCCGTGCTACTGGAGCTACCAGAGGAGGAGGAAGCAGAGCCTTCTTCCTCTGCGATCTTTCTCTGGCAAATCTTACACCATGCATCGGCCTTGGCCTCCTCTACCGAAGCAACGAAAACTGCTTCGTGCACAGACCATGGAAGCACACCGCACCCGTTGGTAAGGTGCAAACGCCTGAAGCCCGTGCGCCTGGAAATGGAATACCAGAAGCGGCCCTCCTGATTTGACACAGGTTCTGAGCCGGCTACCAACGCTGCCTCAGCTCTATCATCGACTGCCAGGGTAGCAATAAGCAGTGGGAAGCGTGTCAAGAGAGCCAAGTGCCCTGCATCAGACCTTCGCCAGATTTGATGACCTGTCACCCCTCGCAAAGAACTCACACCTCGGTCGGCACAGTACCGCTTGAGATCCTCGAAAAGTTCGAGCTCACTAACAGACTCGTGTCCCAGGCAGAGTGCTTCATTCACACGCTTCTGGACACGATAGACAACCTCCCGTGCCTTAACGACGTACTCCATGCTCTGATGCGCTCCTGCCTGCCACCGGCCTAAATAGTCCAGGTCGCACTTCGGAACCCCCAGCGCTGTACCCCAGGAAGGTAGCCAGTGGCGGGCAGAATGCCCACTCCAGAAACTCTGAACATCCACCGGAACCAAATAGAAGTCATCAGCCTTCCAGACTGAGCCATCGAAACGTGGCCCCAGCAAATGCGTGTACAAGCCCCTAAGGTGCAATGAGAGCTGCTCTGGCTTGAGAAACTTTCGGACACATCCTGAATAGTCCTTAGTGGGTGCAGCCACAAAGTAGGGGCGTTCCCAGTAAAACGCTGGCTGCTGAAATAGCTCCAATCCTACACGAAGCCAATCATGACCAGACAGGGAGAGGGTCCGGAGAATAAAGACCGGAACCTCCCTAGCCTTCTTCCCGGGCCCCGTCGTCTTGGAGCGCCTCAAAACAAGCGTGAGCCCATTATCCGTGAAGACCATGCGGCAGACATCCAACCATTGCACGTCATCAGTACGAAGGGTTCCCCAATGCATAAGCAGCCCGACCCATGCCAGAATGCGCATGAAGGGCGCCGCTTCATCATCGATAACAAGCAATTCCATGGAGATAAGCATTGCAACAGTGCACAACTTAGCTGGTTTCTTGGGCGGCGCGCCTCTCTCCAGCTCCTCCCCCATTGCCTTAGCCATATCGTTCAGTGTGGGATCTGATCCGAGACGGCCGTCCCCTGCAATCCTTCCCACGTTCTCCAGCAGAGACAGTGAAGAGAGTACATCCCTAGGGACACTGACACCACATCCTTCGGCAATACGATGCTCCAGATAATCTGTAACATCCAGTACACTCTGAGGCCAGGAGGTTCTCTTCACCAACGTAAGCCACAAATGAAAACCCTTCCAAGTTTTAGCCCGATTCCTCAGTGTCTTGGCACGGCGGCTACCAAAATCCTGGACCAGACCTGAGAGGGTGTCTCACTTGAACGAATGAGCTCCATAACAGGAAGATCAGCCTCCTCAATATAACCTGCCAGAACACGCTGCCACCTACCACGTTCCTGTTGCTCCAGCTGTTCAGGATCATCTATGCCCGCCTGGAGGGACATGCCCAGGTGACTTCGACGGCGATTCTTCTGGACTTGTCCTACCACCGAAGAAATGTCCTGAAAACAGTCTTGCATAATTCGTAGCTCATCAGACGAACCCGGCAGCCTGGGGCACCGCATGAGGGTGCATTGCCGGAAGTATGCTTGTCTCTTGGCCCCTGCTCCAGTATCCCGAAGCTTCCGCAACGCATCACGGCATGCCGACGTAACCTCTGGATCTGAAAGATTTGCAGCCGCCAATAAATCCTCCAGCCCCTCGTCGCTATCAAGGAGCTCCCAAGCAACAAGCGGATGTCCATAAGCAGCTTGCAAACCCTCACGTAAGACAGGTGGGAAGTGACCCCAGCCTTCTCTAGCAACCGGCATCGCTGTCAGCCTGCATCCATGGCTGCGTCCCACCCGAACAAAAACATTGCCCCACCTCCGGGCTCGAGCATAACTGATATGAAGCAAAGATGTCAATCGTCCAACACGATTCAAAAGGGCATGACGTGAGCATGCAAAACCTAGCATGCAAAAAGAGAATGCTTCAAGCAATGGAAAATACCAAAATCATTGGTTTCAAAAGAGGCCCACCCTACCAGCCCCTTTCATGATTTGGAAAATGCCTTTGGGCAAGCCCAAGAAGCTATGCTGGCGTGTGTGAGTTTTGATGCATTTGGGAGAATTTACACGTGTTTCGTTTGGAGGCGGACGTACAATGGAAAGGGAAAGTCAAGGTGGCATTGGGGCTATCGGTGTGACAAGGGTGCAAAAAAGGGTGTATGGTTTTGGGAATTATATATGATACAGTATAGCGGTTAAAGATAGGAAGGTTGTCTCGCATTGTTGCCTTTTCTGGACCCGAAACAGATGGATGCTACTTCTATTTTGAATGTGCTCCTCGCCGTTTGTGCCTGCATACGAACTTTTCCACTATCCTCGAGCAACAAAAGCAGGTATCTCAGAATCAGCATGTGCACGACTACAGGAGCGAAAGTAAAATGCATGATAAAATCAATGTAAAACCATGCCAACGAATACGGGAAAATCGTTCGTACCCCGCCTCAGGCTGTTCCATTGGCGAATGGGCAGACTGTTCGTGAACGATTCCCAAAGTATGAAACAACAGCTTGTACGACGTTTAAACACGCTCCAAGTGCACATGTTCTCACTAGCGTATTGGGCTTGATTTAGCCGGCTCAAGGCTTAGCTCGAATGCTACGCAACTACGTGTAGACTGTACACTACACTGCCTACGGAGTTGTATCCACGACCTTAAGCCGAGGACACAACTGCATGCTTGACTGGCGCAAGCGGACGCCCTCGCAAGTTGTCAAGACAAAGGGCGGATTCATGATGGATCATGCGCTCTCGCGCCCAGTCGAAAAATCAATGACGGCCTAGTTACCGCCAATGGGTGCCAAACGCACCTCAGCAGCTGAGAGCCCCTCCACGGCTCAAGGGATTGTGGCATTGCTCGGATTGGCAGCAAAATGCTGCATATCAAGATTCAAGTGATTTCAAGCCGTCCATCGCACGTTGTCAAGCTATGTACAGGATCCACCAGCAGCCTGTCAATCAATTGCGCCGCGGCACAAAGGACTGACTATGTACATGGCATCCAATGTGCCTCATGAGCATTATAAAGCAAGATCAATCGTACGATGCAGCATCACAAGAAACTCGGCACACCCATCAAGGTTTGCATATGCGGCACGCGCGGTAGCCGCGCTCTTCAGCAACTGCTCGCGACACCTCGGTGACGCCAAGCGACTGGTTCAGCTTGCCACATGTAGCTTTATGATAAGCGTATCCCTGACTTGTCGAAATCCACACGCCGTCTGCGCTTCGGGTTTGTGGCACCCGGCGCTGCGGAATCGGGCATGCTCTCGGAATCTTCTCGGATCTCTCACTGGCTTCGCTGTTCGATCGCAGCACATCGCTGGATGACCCTGGTCTGCCTGCATGGACCTCGTGCGCACCAGGGCTCTGGGCTCGCTCATCGTCGTCATCAAGCTTCGGTCGACTCGCGGTTTTGGGCCGCGCTCCACGCACCTGTTCACCAGCCTTGGCTTTGGGCTCACTTCGGGATGTTCGGACATCAACCGCAACTCCAGACGCGATGCGCACCTGCACAGATGCCTCTGGAACATCTGTCATCCGTCGGCCACAACACATGAATGCACACATCAAGAATGCAGCGATTGCAACGCACTGGCACACCGCAACACATGTCGAAGGGTATGCTTCATACACTGCAGATGCATAGCCGACGATCTGCACCAAGGATTCAAGAATCGTATCAAGAATGGTCGAAGTCGCGTCGTCGTCATTGGCATCATCGCCATCCTCTGCACCCAGGCTTCCAGTTGCCTGCATGGCAATCAAGATAACACTAAGGATGCGGGCGGTGTTTGCCGTGGCATCACCCTTTGCGATCTTTGACAGATCCTTGCACACATTGCGAATGGCCTGGACATTGTGCTCTGTGCTCAAGATTGCATCTCCAACCCTAGCATAACCATTTCGGGAATCTCTAAACCCAATCAGGCCAAGCAGAAACTCCGTGCGCTGCACACCAAGGAGTTTCGTGCCAATGTCCGCGACATTGGTACGCGTGGGTGCCGGCAGCACCTCCAGCAATCCTTCCGCAACCCGTTGTTGCGTCCATAGCAACTTCACATCAAGATGGCGCACACGCCCGACCCCGGCGCGTTGAAGGATCGCACGGGCAGCGGAATTGTCAATCATCAAGAGTGGTGGTGTCGTTGGCTCTGGAGACACAAACCGCATCATGCTCGAAACAAGGGTTCCATCTATCGCGGCTGACACCGCGGCACCAAACTCGGATTCCGCACTGGATAGTGCGATCGACTTTTGCGTTTTGGACGCTGCATGGATGAACTTGCTGTTGCAAAGAATCACGGACGACGAGACAGAACGTCGGGTGGATCGGCATCCACCCCAGTCAGCATCGCTAAACGTCTCGATGACATTGATCCCTGGGCGATGCACTTGCACACCGTGTCCGATGCCTCCGGCCGTAAGGCATGCACAGTACCCCTCAGTGGCACTCAAGTAACCGACCAAATGCCGCAGGATTGCCCATGCCCCAACGGTCGGGGACGACATAAAGCCTGACAAGTGGCGAATGCTGTGCATGGCATGCGGGAGGTCTGACTGCAGGTAAAGCAACACTCCAACGGCTGATCGAAAGCGAAATGCCTGATCCTGGGACAATGGTGCATCGTCCTCCTTCTCCGTGGGCAACCGCCCGGACGGGAGAGGTGATTTTCGGTGCTTGGGATGGCCGCACAAAGATTTCAACTTTTCCAAGTGTTTTGGGCTCACCTCAATCAGCAACTCTGTGCTCGACAAAAGATAATGCCGCTTCTTAAGAAAATGAACCTCTTGGCCTGGCACCGAAATCAAATTCACAGTCACTTTGTAATCCCTTTCAAGATGATCAGTCATGCACTTGATCACACTTGCAGGTCCTGTGCCAAGCAAATCATCGACGTGCACAAGTCCCCCGCCTCCGCCGTCCTCAGGCTGGAACCGGAACAGCGATGGCACCTCTTGCATCAGCTCGACACGGCTTCCGACTTTCAGCGCATCGGTGAACTGGTAGAACCAGGTCTGGCTCCCTTCCTGCTGGCCCGGAAGGAGCCTGAGAAGCTTGAAATACAAGCGTTCGCCATTGATCATGACACTTGTGCATGTGTCCTCTGCCTGCGGGCAATTCAAGTAAGCATCCGTAACATCTAATGATACCAACTGCCAACCGTTATGGTAGTTGTCAATGAAGACACATGGGATGATCTTGCTTTGCAGAGCATTCGATGCAGGGGAAAACAAATCGGTACGGCCTGGGCACAAAAATGCAAAATCACGGGCCACAAGCCTGGCTCGCCGGAGCCAGTATGTGCAACCTGCAATAGTCTTGCAGCGCCATGTTACCACAAAACGAGTGGTCAAGTCGGCTAACACCTCAGCGTCCGGCACTACAGCCAGAGGCGAACTCACAACCTCTGCATCGGAAGGTGCTGGCTGCAATGGCGTGACAGGTCCACTGTCTTCCTGCATGGGTGTCGGTGGCTCTGGCACAAAATCACTTCTGATGGCTGGTGGTGGCACAAGTTCACTCAGCGGTGTACTGTCAGGAAGAACATAGCCAGGATACGGAAGTGGATCCGCACCGGCCGGGGTACTCTCATCTGGCTGTGGCTCTGGGGGTGCTTGCTGTGCATCACGTGTTTTCTGCGGCCTGCACTGTCCAACCTGGCCCGCAAGAAAAGCAGCCTGGGAATAGGGATGATCACGCAGGCGCTTTGCAAAATCAGCACTCCTCAAGTAAGTTTGCGGTAAGCGACGAATCGACCTGCAAGCAAGAAAGAAAATGTCCCGAAGCAGTGAAGACTATGTGGCCGTCGCTACACCCAAGTTTTCCCAACCACAAACCTATGCCCCATCGGGGTTGCCCTTTCACAGCACTTTTAACTCTTCCATAAACTGTCTCACCAATGCACACAAGCTTGCCCTGATAGGGCCGCCCACATGCCAGCTCGAACGGAGTCTGGCCTTGCGATCTGGTGAACCGCTGCTGAATGAAGCTTGCATGCCGCCATGCCCACGCGTGCATTGCATCTAACGATGCCACCTTGACACCTGCACGGGACTCAAACTCAGAAAGCAACGTGTTGGTCAGCTGTCGAAGGGTCTCGACCGCAGGTTCGGCCGCATTGGCCGCATGATCATCAGGCTCACTCTGCTCAAGATGGGTCCGCAATCCAAGTCGAAGACGCTGGGCTTGCACAAGCTTTTGCAACGACAAACACACTGGCTCTGGGTCACTGCGCAGTGTGACCTCGCTGTGGCCTAAAGTCGCGATCCACCTTGTAAGCTCTGATGTCATGTACCTGAGCTGCAGATTGCCGCCCTTGGCCGGGACAGGCCAAGCTTGATTTGCACCGGTAAAATTGCAAGACGCAACGACTCGTGTAAGCAAAATCAAAACAAATTGTCGCATGCTCACGGTCGCCAACAGGGTGCCTCTCATGTCTATCAGAACGGGCACGATGCTGAACACATTCAGCGCACCACGCTTGGAATGGCATGTGCGTCAGCGAATGCTTGCGCACTTCATCCTGGGATGGCTCCCGCACTGGCGCCTGTTCACGAGGCAGCTGCACATCAGTCGGAAGGTTGGCCCACAGAAAATCGTTTCGTGCAAGAAACTCTTTGATCCTCTTAAGAACTGTCGCCTTACCACCCGACTTACCTATCCCAAGACTCTGTGCTGCGGCCCGCAGCGTGGCGAGGGTGCAATCAAGGGTCAACTCAGTGCCATCAACGACAACAGGTTTCTCGCCGGGAGCGTTACCCGCTGCACCGGGAGACTCGCCTTCATCTGCATCTCCTCCGTTGGCTCCCAAGTCAACGCCGCCTGCATCAATGTTGACATCCAAGTCCATGGCAGCATCGGGAGACGGATCACCGTCTGACTCCTCTGGCACTGGCACTGCCACAAGCGGGTGATCAGAGTGCTCAGGGAACAACTGGCGAACATCAAGCCGGTACGTGGAACCAATCGTGATGGTCTCATACATCTTGGGCCTTGGAAATGCAGCCTCGAACCTTGCCTCAAAATCATCCAAAGTTGACAGATCCTCGTTCAGCGTATGCAACATCCAGCCACGCGGGCTGTTGTGCAATGTGGTCCTGAAAGCAATCGGCAGGCTAGGGAAAGCCAATGTGCAATCAACGTAGCACAGGCTTGCGCACTTGTTTGCCACCAGACCTGTGTCAATCTGCACAAACGGCGCTTTGAGCGACAACCAAGGGCCATGCAATGTCACAGTCAATGCATTCACGTGAAAATCGCCCTGAGGTGTACTGGACTGCGATTGTGGTGCATGAGGTTCGCAAGAACTGGTCTGCGATTGTGGTGCATGAGGTTCGCAAGAACTGGTTTGCGATTGTGGTGCATGATGTTCACTGGGGCTTGCTGGCGGATGCCCCGCCTGCCCCGCCTGCGGTGCATCACTCTGCATGACTCTGATGCTACCCCGGACACACAGGGAGTTGTGCTTCATGAACACGGGGACCCCGTAGGCTTCATCTCCCTCACGGAAAAGCTTTAGCTCATTGTTCACACGGCCAACCGTAAACCCTTGGCGGTAAAGCTTGCCTAAGCTCAACAAGGGAGTAGTCACGGGGCCTATCAACCAGGTTTCCGTTATGGTCAAGGGTCCAAGGTCAAGCTTTGCATTGCGCACCGACGTAGGAGAAATCACATTCCCCTGTGCATCACGGAACGTTGCTTGCAATGGCGGCGCTGAGGTCCCGGTGGAACCAAAGGCCGCAGGAAGGCACGAGTGATCGGCCCCACTGTCAAGAACGATCTCAATGTCCTGATGGATTGCACACACCTGATGCTCTGGAGCAAAAGTCACCACACTCAAGGATCCATTCGCAAACGTCCATTCCCCGTCACTGTCACTGTAGCTCATGTCATACATTGGGGCAGCTTGCTCAAAGTTACGCACAAGAGGGTCAGGCACGGTCATGGCAGGGAGTGTGGCATGCACAAGATCAATGAATTCACTCGGGAAAGGCTCGAGTGGCACCAAGTCCGGTTTGGGCGCGGACGTCGCCTCGCTCGGGTAGGGCTCGAGCAGCACCGGGCCCGGTCTGGGCGCGGACATCGCCTCACTCGGGTTCGGCTCGAGTAGCACCTCCTCGCTCGTGTATGGCTCAAGCAGCACCTGGTCCGGTCTCGGCGCGGACATCGCCTGTGTGATCATGTGAATGCCCCCACTGCCTGTGCCACTGCCAACCGCACTCAAATCAATCTCAATGCGACGCACTGCTGTGGTGGCTTCGGACGCTGCCTGGGACGCTGACGGCCCCACGGTGGATGGTGCAGCCTCCGACGGAGTCGGATTGTTGACAACCTGATGCACATTCGCCTGACCTTTGCTGCGCCAACACTCTGCGGCATAATGGCCTTTACGACCGCAGTTGTAACACTCCACCTGTGACTTGTCGCCTTTGCCCTTGCCTTTGCCTTTGTCCTTGCCGGGCTGCTTGCCACCTTTGCCTTGATCCTTGCCTTTGCCACCCTTCGGCTTGCCTCCATGGGGAGTCTGGGCATGCTGACCTTTCTTGCCGCCTTTGCCTTTGCCTTTGTCCTTGCCTTGCGGTTTGCCACCTTTGCCCTTAGGTTTGCCCCACTGCACGGCATCAATTTCCATCTGCGTTGCCTCATCATGCCTCTGAGCTGTGGCCTCGCGGACCGTCCCAAAGTAAGAAACAGATTGCCACTTGAAATGCTGACGCTCGATCCTCAGGCTTGCCTCTCGCACCTGAGTGTAAGTGGCATCCTCAGGCAAGCTGGCATATATCTGATTCTTTGTGTTAGCAGGCAAACATCGCAGAAGAAGTGCAGTTTTCACGCTACCCTGAAGGGTCTCTGAAGCTGACTGTTCATAAGAAGTGAAAACGCGTTCCAAATCAAGGATCTGCGGAAGCAAGGCCTCGGAGGGCTTGAACGAAGGCACCTGGGTGATCGCTGTCAAGATGCCCAAGCTGCGCCCCTGAGAGCGCGGGGCAAAGAGGCTCATCAACTGACGCAAGGCTTCCAAACCGTGTCCACTCTCGGTCTGTCGCACAATCATGTAACCTCTGCCACGAATGAGGGCAGCCAAAAGCGAATACAGCTGACGTGACCTGGCTTGCTGTGCAATGGTGCCCTGGCCCTTTGCTATCACTGAACCAGGGTTCGCCTCCAAAGCTTCAAGGTCGGGCCCATAGCCCGGATCAAGAGCTGAAAGGTACTGCTGAAAACTCCAAAACCAACCTGGCCACGATGTGTGCTCCTGCTCTCTAGTGCTAGCTGCAAAGACCTCAGGCTTCGGCAACACACGCAGCATGTCCTTGCCAGTCAAGGTTGGCGGACCGTCCCGAGAGGACGTCGCCGCCGCTGCCGCTGCTGCTGCTGCATCTGATGCTGCACGGGTTGCTTCAGCCAACTGTTCAAACAAAGCATTCAGCTGGGCAGGGCCTAACACTATCTGACCTTGGGAAGGTGAGGCAGCTGGGCTCGCAAGGAAGGGATTATTGGGCATCGGCTGGGGAAGCTGTGGGCCTGCAGCCGCTTCAAGCTCTGGCAGATCATCATCTATGTCATCCACCGGCACATGTGCAGCCTGTGCACCTTGCTGAGCCATGGCACTACAGCCTGGCTTGTGAGCCGGCGTCTGCAGGCTACCCGCCGCGCTTAACGCCTAAAGTTGCACAATCAAAGACCTTGGTTCCTGAACGGATCTCGCAACGCAAAACCCAGAAACCAAAGACGTGTCGTGATGTTGTTGCTTGTCACTACCTCTCTGTGTTGGGGATTGGGTCCAGTCTCCGAACCACGGCACCAGGAGATTCCAGAAATCCTGGCTGTACCGCGGCTCCGCTACCATACGAACTTTTCCACTATCCTCGAGCAACAAAAGCCTTCAGGTATCTCAGAATCAGCATGTGCACGACTACAGGAGCGAAAGTAAAATGCATGATAAAATCAATGTAAAACCATGCCAACGAATACGGGAAAATCGTTCGTACTGCAAAACATGAGAAGTTAAGGGGGTTTGGGGTTAGGGGTGCGCATCCGGAAAGCATAGGGAGCAGGCGGCTGAGAGAGCATAGGGTTTTGGGGAGCGCAGGAAGGTTGGGTACGTAGGACCTTTATGTATTGTCAAAAATGTTTTGGTACATTAAACACTGAGAATATTCACAAAATACGAACATAGTTATTCTTATACTCATATACAAAAACAAATTGATACAATCTCTCATTTTCCTTCGAGCCAACACTTCAAGCCAACATCTATAAGTTTACTTAAACTTGAAAATATCATGTTTTTGAATATGTTCCCAATGTCCCTTTAAGCCAAAACTTGTAACATTTATACAATTGTTTAAGATTACAAAAAGGTTTGGAATGTTTTCAATGTATTGAGCAGAAACTGTTGCTATTTTTGAACCTGCTAAAGTTCGTAAGAAAAGTCAACAAGGCTTGACTCTGTCAGCACTAGTGAAAGTTTAAAACCTTTTACCAACGTCAACTTCTAAATCTTGTCAACACACGGGGCGGCCCACACGATTTTCCCACTGTGCTTGAGCCGTCGTTTGACCTACGGAGAACGCAGTGAAACATGCTAAATTCGGCCTACACAATCCCAGGCTTGACATGCCCTGAAACTGCATATGCAAACTACGCTCACTGGCAGTCGCACTCATTTTTCGCTGAAGTCGCAGTGCTCGTTGTGGTTGTCGATAGAACGACATAGCCTTTGGCTTTTAACTGCTCAGAACTTTTGCCGCCTCGAGCCAAACTGCAGCGGTTAGGGTGAAGGGCAAAGAGGTTCACCCAAAGCGTGAGCTACACCCTAAACCACAAGGTTAAAGAACTCAGCGGACTGAACTCGACCACAAGTCGAAAGCACTCAGCGGACTCTCACTTTTTCTCGTGGTGACGCAGGGACGTGTGAGTCTTGTTCACTCTCGACGAGAGTGCTGCCTACTTCTACTTGGCAAGGAATGCCACAAGAGGAGCACGGTTGCTCACAAGCTGACACGAGGAGCACTGTTGCTCAACAAGTTGGCACTGCACTGCAAGAGGTAACCTGAGGAGCACAGCCGGCTGGCGTGCTGCACTGACAAGCTACTCTCCCGGGTGGGCGGGCGGGAGCAAAAATTTTAGAATGTGACCTGTGATGCAATGTCATTGCCTGTGCCATGACACTGCTTGCAGCATGACATGTGAAGTCATCCGGGACTCAAGCTCGAAGCCAGAACAGCGGGAATGCAAAGGCAATCATTCTGCACACACCGGGCAACTGGCAAGCTGCTTTGCAAAGGCTTAAAGACACGTGGTTTGTCAAGCTGAGGAAAAGGGAAAAACTCGAGGCGGCCAAAATTCTTCTTCTTACACAAGAAAAGAACTTTCATAAAAGAGTCGTTCGCATTTAAAGCGCTAGCAGCGGAGCGCTGCCGACACGCTTAACTGCTCAGAACTTTTGCCGCCTCGAGCCAAACTGCAGCGGTTAGGGTGAAGGGCAAAGAGGTTCACCCAAAGCGTGAGCTAAACCCTAAACCACAAGGTTAAAGAACTCAGCGGACTGAACTCGACCACAAGTCGAAAGCACTCAGCGGACTCTCACTTTTTCTCGTGGTGACGCAGGGACGTGTGAGTCTTGTTCACTCTCGACGAGAGTGCTGCCTACTTCTACTTGGCAAGGAATGCCACAAGAGGAGCACGGTTGCTCACAAGCTGACACGAGGAGCACTGTTGCTCAACAAGTTGGCACTGCACTGCAAGAGGTAACCTGAGGAGCACAGCCGGCTGGCGTGCTGCACTGACAAGCTACTCTCCCACTTTAACCTATCGACCAATTTTTCTCTTAGCCAAGGAATCCCACGCAGTCTATGAGGGCCTGAGAAGCATCGTCTGCCACAAGTGTTACACCATTAACCTCTAAGGATTCACAAAGCTTACGGGAGGGCTCATCTGCGATGTTAGATGGGGATGGAACCCTAGAGAACCACGTCCTGATTTCACCCGCATCCTCAAGCGATAGCAAAGCGGTCGCCAAGGCCTTGGCAATGAAGCTTCGGCCTCGCCCCGAGATGCACACATCCCGCGAAGTGTTGTTGTCTAAGTAACACACAAGCGGCCTGTTGCGGAACAGTTCTTTCCAATGGACAAGCGCGACTAGAAGCGCCAAAAACTCCAACTCGAATATGATGGTCTTCTTAAACCCTTCGCCAAGTTTCTTCCGCACTTTTTCACTAGCACACATGGAAAAGAACCCCAAGCAATTGCCTTTAGGTCCAAGCACTACAGCACCCAGACCTGCGCACCAGTCAGCACCTGGTTCGTAGCAGGCATCCGTGAAGAGAAACAAGGATTCCTGATGATTTGCCGTGACCACGTGTGGCCTGCTCTCCTGTAAGCAATTGTGGAAGCGAAGCAAAGAATCCCACAAGTCTCCATCGGTCACTTCATCATGCGATGCGTGCACATGCCGTGACACCGCCTGCAAACTAAAGCGCGAAGCTCGGCCGAACAAGAAACCATCGCAAAATTGCATCCTGCCGCGGAGTCGTTGAGCTTCCGCCCTTGACAACTTTCGGGATGCCAACAAGTCTGAAATTACTGACGTCAGCTCGGCGATCCTAGATGGCGTGTTGGAGATAGTGACGAACCCTTTATGGGACTGGGCCAAATTAAACAAAACGCCTAGCGCCTTGAAGGACGTACTAAAATCGACAGCTTTGGATCCACACTCGTCGAGTAACCAACCTAGGAGTCTGAAGAAAGTGCAGACCGTGGCTTCCGTGTGGCGGATGTCACAAGATTTGGCAATCGTAATAAAATCGTCAAAAAAGACGCTCCAGCACAAGCCTAGCGCCACGCAGCCTAGCCACCACACGGCCGCAGCCGCACGGAGGAAGCCGAACACCGACCTCGAAGCTCCAAAAGGGAGTGCGAGCAGTTGATCGAGTTCAATGGAACCCGTGATAGGGTTCCAATGGGCGACGTAGGATTGAGGTAAGGACTCGGGGCCTCGGGGTGCACAGGAAGTTGCCTATAGGCGGATCGCAAATCGTACGGTCACCTTGTAGGGGCACACCTGGAGCAAGCCCCATAAACGTCAACATGGCACCGGCCACAACGTCCGGCCCATAGGGTTTAGGAGACTCCTGAACCGTCACTAACTCATTCACCCCGCTGAAGCTCATGTCATCCACTAACCTAATCTTCTCCCCTTGCCTAAGCCCAAAACGGCTAACCAAGCTGCCAGGCGCCAAGGATTGCAGAGGGACGGGTCCAGTGGCCCATCCTTTCTCCCGCTCTTCCACCGTCTTTTCATGTACAACAGCATCCACATCCCCTTGCGGCTTTATGCGCTCCAAGACTCTGGACCGGGCTCCGGGGGCCCATTGTTCAAGATCAGCGGCTTGCCGCATAGCGGGCTTAAATGTTGGTGGGAAGATTCCATGTTTGGCGTCTGGCCCGTGAGCCGAATGCCATGCGTGATCTCATCGAAAACTTCTGGATCCGGATATTCATAAGCAGAAAGGAGTTCCTTGATTCCTTGAACAAGAGCAAACGTTTTGGCGCCAAAATGCTGGCAACATGTGGTGCCAAAGATGCTTTGAACGATGCCTCTTCACTCTCCAGCTCCTTGGCCCTCGACAACCACGTCTTAAAGAAGATCGCCCTGTCATGAGCCAACTGCTCAGAGGATGACGATGCATTTCTCTGGATAGCATTCTGCAGGACCTGCGGGATAGCGGCTTCCCATTGGCATGGATGCCCTGCCCTGATGGCTGCTTTCACAAACTCTTGAGGATCCCGCGGGACACCCCAAGCAGCAACCCAGTCAACCTCCGAAGAACCCAAACCAGGTTACTATACCGGCGGACACGGACGGACACGGACATATCCTACACAGCAAAAGCACGGGTGCGGCGGACACCTGCGGCGGACACTCGTCCGGGGAGTGGCGGACATCTGGCGGACACACTCTTTTAGCCGATTTCCAGCTTTGTTTGTCCAGCGGCGGAGCAAAAGAAGCTATACACAGAAAGGCTCCGCATGTCGCTTTGGAAGCTATTTCAACTTCTGCAGTAGAGCCGCGGCGCCTCTCAGGCCCGTTCGGGCGAGAACCACAGCCTGCCTGCAGCAGTATCGCTTCCTGCGATACAGGACCACTTCGTCCCTCGGTTTCTTGAGGCTTCCTGCACGTTCATGCTTCCTCTTAAAGTGCCGATAGTCATGTCGAAACTTCTTCAGGAGGTGGTTGCCGATCCTGAAGCGTACTAGCAGCATCTGCTTCCTCGCATCTGCGAACCAGCTTTTCAAGGCAAACTTGCCCGGACGAACTCGTGACTCTTCCATGGTTTGAGCGGGCATGACTACCAGAAAGTCTGCTGAGCCATTTGCAAGCTAGCGGCCAAGCGGCTTTTGAATGCGAAGCTTCTGTGCTTTGGGGTTTTTAGTTTAAAGGGCAGGCATTGTCTGGCTTCAGAACCTCGAAGCACAGATTTTTTTCCAGTCGGAAAGTGGCACCAGTCGTACTGTCTTCAGCACACTGTACAAGGAAAGCAAGGGCTACACTGTCGGCTACAGCAGGGCTTAGAACTGTAGAGGACCATACGCTTTTGTGGGAACTATACGTGGTTTGTAGGGTTTAGGCTTTGTTTAGGGTTGAGGGGTGTCTATAGGGTTTAGGGTGGCTTTCAGGTAAATTAGGGTTTAGGCATGTTATAGGGTTTATAGGGTTCATGCCGGCATAGGTTGTCTATAGGGTAGGGCTTGAGGGTTTAGGGTTTTTAAAGTTTAGGGTTTTTAGGGTTTAGGGTTTGTAGGGTTTAGGATTTTTAGGGTTTAGTATATAATAGTGTTCTGGGTTTTTAGTGCTCCTTTTTTCGGTTTAAAGTTTTTAGGGTTGTGTCAGCACCTTTCTAGAAGCTGCCCTGTGCGCCGTTGACTCAGCCAGCGGGTCAGGTCAAGTTGATGATGATCTTGCGGCCGCGTCCCCGCTTCCTGGCAGGCTCCGGCGACGACGAGGACGCCCGGCTTGCGAGACCTGCTCCAGGCGCGAGTCAACTTTGCGGGAGGCTCGGACGAGGAGGGCGTCGGGGAAGGCTGCCATCGGCGGGGCTTCTTGGTTTGCTGAGACCTGCTCCTGGAGCGGGTCTCCTTCCGAAGCCTCGTAGGCTGGCCGGACACCCAGTCGGGCAGCAGCAGCCAAAGCCTTTGAGGCAGACTCCCTGCTCTCCTTGGAGACCAGGCGAGCAGCCCCATCTTTCGACTTGGAAGCCTAGCGGGCCCTGTGCTCTTTGAGCTCTTTGCCCCTGCTTCACAGCAAGCTTCCAATTTTTCTCCTTCATCGAACCCCAAAAAAAATGCCAAGCGTGTAGCATTCGTGTACATGTGTTGCTCCCGGCCCGATTGCCATCGGGAGATGGACTGCCAACAGATCGGGCACCGATCCCTGTCTGTGCTGGCCGGGCGCTGGCTTTTCGCCTTTGGGCTGTGCTTTGGCGCTTGCGGGTGTCCTTGAGCGGCTCGGGAAGCGTCTGTTCTGATCCCGAGCTCTTGCTGCGGGCACGATCCTCTCGGGATCTTCCGCGGCGGCGGCTGTGGTGACGGCCGCGGCCCTCGCGCTTCTCCGTGGATCTGCCTCCGCTCGAGGACGACTTCTTCTCGGCCTCTTTGTCCTCCCTGCGTGACGGGGACGCCACCACCGCCACCGACAGGCTTCTTTCCGTGCGGTCGTCCTCGTGGGAGCTTTGGGACCGCGATTCTTTTTTCTTTGCCTTCTCCTTTTTCTCCTTCTTCTTCGTAGTTCCCATGCAGATGCACCTGCAGCAGGGCATACATGTACATGTGTATCATATATCATGCATATGATATACATGTGTGTCTCTATATAAGCGTGTGTGTGTGTGTGTGTATTCGCATATACATATCTATTTACTTATTTTTTTCATAATCGGATTTTCAAACATATGCCAAGGTAAAGGACTCAAGGTATATTTGCAAATGAATCCAATCACAAGCATGAACATGATTCCAAATAATGCGGCATATGATGCAATCGCACATTCACTCATTTTGCACGGGGCGAAACACGGTCTGGCGACCGCCCCCTTCGGGGGCGTGGGTGAGGAGGGTGGGACCAGTGCAGTAGCACGTACGCCAGCTACGGACTACCACAAGTGAAACGGACTGCAAGAGTAGACAGATGCGGATTGCAAATAAAGCGCAAGCAGCTGAGCACAGCGTACTTGGCACAGCCTACGGCTACAACTACGCAGCTACACCTACGGCAGGCACAGGTGGAACTCACAAGAGAGCTCAACACCGGCAGCACGCAAAGCGAGTGCGGCGGAACACAAGTGAAGCGGAGCTCGTGGAGAGCTCGAAACACGACATGAAAGGTTGGCAAGCTCGATGGCACGTAGAGCCAGAGCAGCACACAGGGAGTGGTGGGTGGGCAGAAAATTCTTCCAAAGCTCAGCTCGAGCACTGAGCTGCATACACATGTTGCATTCCAAGACCAATCACGGAGATGCAAAAGTCACTGCAAAATCAGCACAAGTGTAAAAATCAAGCATGCCAAATTTTGAAACCAATGTTTGAAAATGCTCGCATCGAGCTCGCTGTCCTTTTATGAAAAAGGGATCGCAGATGGCGCGCGCTTGTCTGCTGAGATCCTTTTCATAATCGGATTTTCAAACATATGCCAAGGTAAAGGACTCAAGGTATATTTGCAAATGAATCCAATCACAAGCATGAACATGATTCCAAATATGCGGCATATGATGCAATCGCACATTCACTCATTTTGCACGGGGCGAAACACGGTCTGGCGACCGCCCCCTTCACCCCTTCTTAGCAATCTTAGCGGGAGCCAAGAGATCCTTAAGGTCACAACCCGACAGGGGGCACGAGGGACTAACCCTACGACAACCAAACTTAATCAAGGATGCAAAGTCACCACGTGACGGAGCATCGGCCACATTGCTCTGGCTGGCAACACGGGCCAGGACCAAGAAGCACTTAGCTCTTCGGCCGCCTCGAAAGACAACAATATGTCCCTGACGTGATGATTGGCAGAGGTGCCCTTGATGAAAGAATCTTGTGCAGGCACATTATCAATGTAGAAGATACATCTGTGTCCCGCGATGAATTGGTGCCAAGCCTTCCTCGCGACGGCAACGGCGTAGGCCTCTATGGGCCCTATGAAGTGACACATGGATTCGGCCCAGCGCGAGACCAGGACAGCAGGGACCGAGCAACCAAAGTAAGTGTGAACCTGATTCTGAAACATCAGCACCCCTCCCACGGTGTGGGAGCTTCCTTTGCTCGCCCCATCGGTGTAAATGTGTACAACGTGATCGGCCACGGAACAAGGGACATGGCGAGGAGTGCCACAACGAAGTCGGTTCAGCAATCTCTCAAGAGACCGCCGAACGCAATCATCAAGCTTCAACTCAGGTCCAGAGTGCGCCTTTGCCCAAGACCTAACCTCTGCCATGAAGAGGCGTCCAGCCTTGCCAAGGATGTACGAGTCAGTGTAGTGCAGGCGACCCATTAAGCTTAGATACCGCTTCCGAGAGATCAATCCCTCCTCAAGGACTTCGTCAAGAGAAGCAATGAGCTCTTCAGCCCGGCCCGGCTTGTTCCGGACAAGAACTAAGCCTTCAGAAAAGCGCGAGCAATCAACCTCCACTCCAAGCATCGTGGCCTGGGCCTTAAAGGGTGAAAGCTTATCGGAGGCGAACCTAAACCCCAAGAGGTTACACAGGGCAATCATGGTTTCCATGGTGTTGGCAGCAATACCACCCGGAGACATGACCGGGAAGTCATCGTAAAAGTTGCACCAAGGCACACACAGTTCTACGCCAATGCGCCAGAAGAGGCGCGCGAGGCGGTTGAAATGAAGAACCGAAGCAGAACTCCCGAAAGGTAGGGCCTTCGACTCAAACAGTCCAGGCTCACCAGTAGAAGGATCAAGCAATGCGATTATTGCAAAAGCCCGCGACTTCGCAGAGACCACGAATTGCTTATAAGCCGATCGCAGGTCCAAGGTAGTAAGGAGAGGCTCGCACCCCACCTTCTTCCAGCCGTCGTGCAAACGACCGCTCAAGGATGCACCTGTTGAAAGAGGGATTGTGAAATCAGGCGGCCCGTTCAGAACCCGAATCCACAACCTGCAGATCCCAATCAACTCATCAAGCGCATTAAGATCAAGCTTGTCCATAGAGCCGAAAGCCAAATTGACCTTGTTCTCAGTGAAATCATCAACAGGTCTAAGTTTACGGCCTGCGGAGGAAGTCTGCTCAACGCCGAAACGGCGAGTCGGTAGCCAACACGGCCCGTGTCGAGCCGACAACACTTCAGCCGAGAGAGGTCCCTCAAGAATGCCATCAGACACCTCATCGAGGGTCTTGTCCCAAAGCTCGCGAGCATTAGCATCAGATGCCGAAGCCCGGATCTTTCCAAGTAAAGCTGGCTGGAGAAACTGTGCAGCATTAGCGAAATCACCTTCAGCCAACTTAGGTGGCCTGGGCTCGTGAGCGAAAACACCAGTGTGTTCATGATGGCCCACCAAATCAAACCCACTGCGAAGCTCGTCGAAAACCTTCATGTCAACCCAACCAAGGGAGCCGGCAATTCGCTCCAAAAGCTTTAACCTTTTCCCTTGCAAAACCTTGGCGACCTGAGGATCAAGCGTCCCCTTCAAGGCACGTTCCTCGACTTCAAGATCAGAGGCCCAAGACGTCCACTTCTTGAGTAGGGCCGCCCTACGTTGCACTACCCAAGTCGGTCCGTTGACCAACATGTCGAAGATGCATTGTTTGAGACGATCAGGAGCAGCGTGCAGGTGGTCAAAAGGATGAGTAACCCCTCTGCACCCATCAAGGAATTCATCTGGCGAGGCGTACACACCAAGGCGAACTTCAAAAGCTCTCGCATCGCAAGTAGACTCCCCGGGCCGAGCACAGGAAGCATCACTGCCGGAGCCGTGAACGGACTCGCAACTGCTGGTATCGCTGCTAGAACTTGCCGAGTGCGCAGCCACAGAAAGAGGACCGGCAGAACGAGGAAAAAGTGCACCCGAATCAACCAGCTTCAGCGAAGACCCAGAACCACCCCCGCTTGGCAGTAAAGAGGTCGAAGATAGAAGCTTGGAACCAGAAGGAGCATCGCGCAGGGGTTGCAAAATGCAACGCTTGGAATCAACAGGCGGAAGAGCATGCACTTGGTAAACAAGCACACGCTTGAACTCAGGCATGACAGGAGGCAGTTTACGCCCACGAGGTTGCCGAGCTGAAGAAGCGGCTGCCGCGGCAGACGGAGCCGCACTCGGATGCACAGGTAAGGGACGACCCAAGTGCCTAAAAACCAGAGCCACAAATTGTTGGCAAAAGGGCCTAGGGTAGGCTGCCTCCTGGGCTGTAGGAAAAGCCATCGTGCCATCGGCACGTCGTTGTGGTTTCCACGGAAGGTGATCATGCCCACCTGGACAGCGCTGGCGAAAATGTTCGATGGCATCACAAGAGGTAAGCAGCGTGCGGTGGGTCAAACGTGCACCACCATAGCAGCACATGTCGAAATTGACCCTAGGAAAATTCTTTACCAAGTGGGCAAAACAGGGCAGCTGCCAGAGCATGCTTGACTCCGGGTTCTCAACAGTCCAGGGAATGTTGGACTCGCAAAGCAAATCAAGAAATTTGGCAAGGCCAATGTAAATTTTGTTCGCAGCCCTGACCTTGTCAAGTCCAACACCGGCAAGTGAAGGCAAACCCATGGGATGCTCAGGAGAACGAAGCGGTGCCGCCGAGACTCCTTTCCGCTTAATGTTACGTGCTGCTGAGCATGTGTACTTTTGTACTTTGTACTTTGTATGACGCAAACTGTCCAGCAGTCTCGCGCTACGCTACAATGCACAGTGGCATCGGCTCAGAGTGAGCAAAAGCAGTGGATCCCACCGGGCTAGCCACATGTGGGCAAACACTGCAGGAGTGGTTTTAAAAACCAACGTCAGCATTAACAAAGGTGAGACAGAGCACAAGTCATCGATCTAACCAGACGTGCTGACTACTCGATCGTATATACACATCGGTCTGACCAGACGTACTGGACTACTAGACCTTTGTACACATGGCATCGATCTAACCAGACGAACTGGACTACTCGATCGTATATACATCGCGGTCTAACCAGACGAACTGGACTACTAGACCTTTGTACACATGGCATTGGTCTAACCAGATGGACTGGACTACTCGACCGTATGTACATGTACAAAGAAGTCCCATGCTGTAAAAAGACCGTTGATGAAGCAGCACCATCGAAAACAGAGGCACCATACAGGAGATTGAAGAGCAGTGGATCGGAAGCGGATAGATAGCATGGCCCACCAGACTGTGAAGGTCATGCAGTCAAAGAAACAGCTGTAGAGGCATCAGACCAAGGTACCATACGTGGCCAGTATGTATAGCCAGTGAAGAACAGTGGTCATAGTAGTAGTAGGATCATCCAGCTGTATGCGACGACATGCCACCGTGTAAAGCTCCTCATAAAAGTCCTCCCGATGGGCACCCACTAGCAGTTGTTTGAAATAGCATATGGCACCAGACATGGAAAGCTGATAAACATTGCGGTGTAGCTGCTGAAGAAGCACCTGTTTCCACTCTGCATCTGTACATGGAGCCTGCTCAAAGTAGTAATAAATGCCCCATTCAACAATATCCACGGCTGAAAAACCCCATCGATGCAAAAATTGAGCAAGGTGGTGGGGAGTAAGAAGTTGAGATGCAGGCTGATCGGCCCAGGTATGTAGCATATCCATCGTGATACATGAGATAGGTTCACTTCCTCGGTCTCGAAGACAATGTGGTACATCATCCAGAGAATCAGATGTTGCCGTAACCAGGACCAATAGCTGCGCTGGTGTGCCATGTGAGCCACTGCTGGATGCCATACGTGCCTGAAAACTGGATGTCGTGCAACGGTTCTGAAGACAGTGTGGTACATCGACAAGTGAATTGTAGGTGCCTCTGGCATCCATCCACTGGGCACGCTGTCTGGACTGATAAATACCGAAAGGCACGTCATGTAGTAAATTGTAGGGCATACAGGCAGCAGCAAGGCTTGGAACTGCTGCTGAATCCGTCGGTGTTCCCACCGAAGTGTGAGTCGCCATGTAGAAAAGATAAGCATAATGACCTGCACACACGCTCAAAGTTGGCATATGCATGAAAAGCCGGAAAAGGGCGGCGAATCAAGAGGGCACTGATATAATGCAAAGCATGCAAGCATGTACAATGCAGCACCCGAGTGGTCGTTTTACCGCATTTACAGTGAGCTGACATACCCCACGCACTCCAGGAAGATCAAGTAGACTTCAGTCATCAACACACGGAGTTGTGCATTTGTGGGGCGACGCGCCACACAGGAATCATCTGTGTAATACAACTGGGGATCTTCCTGGGTGGACTCCCAGTGAATCAGCAGCGTTCTGTAGTGACCTGAGCGCGGAGTGGAGCCGTGATGCCCTATGAGGGCTCGAAGTCTATACATACGCCAAGCTGGTCGCGGTCCAATCTCGGTTTGAAATATTTGTAAGCGTACCTGAAGCGGAATCGTTACTGCTCTTTGGTCTTTGCGAACTCTGGCACCAACCGTGTAAAAGCGAAGAAGCTGCAGGCACACAAACCGAGGCAGTGGCCACAGCCCTGGTGCAGGAGACTGCTGAGACCAGGCTTGTATCAGCCCTGACAGCTGAATCTCAGAGTTTAAACCGCGAGAGGGCATCGGAAGCATAATGAGGTGCTGACCTTCATCGGTTGAGAATCCTGATTCGTCACGAGACTGCCAAGTACTCATTGGAAGCACATTCTGAACCGGCCATGTACGATCGAGGACATGTTGCGCAAACTCTGCCACATCCTGCTGTCGGTCAAAATGTGGCCATTCCTGAATCAATGCCTGAAAAGCCGTGTGATCAGGCAGACACAGCAATTTGAGACCATGCTGGCAGATAAAACACAAGATCTGAAATAGAGCCTGGGCATGTTCAGAGATCGAGACCTCACCAAATAGCCATGCAAGGGCAATGAAGAAAGAGTTGGCATAGCAGATATTGTGTGGATTGTGCAACCGACATGATAGAACCTGCCTCGCAGCCACTCCTGGAGCTGATCCTGGAGTTGAGATCGCTTGGCTCGTTGGGGTCGAATACGTGCGCCGACTGCTTCCATGGCCGAGCAGTCCACCAATGCCCTCATGCTCTGGTGTAGACGGCACGCACTCGGCTTGAGCGAGATGTCCAGAAGGAATGGAAGGGTGGGACCCATCTGTCCTTCTTCCAAGGCTTTGGTCGCCTGAAAACGTGTGATGTGGTCCTGATTGTTCAGTCCTTGGAGAGCATTCGTGATGTGTGTCATCAGGACGTCCCACTTGATCGGATCCCTGCTGAGCTGTAGCTGAAGTGCTTTGTTCTTTGGACACCATTGGCGATATGTCCAAGCACCTTCGTCCGTCATCAGGCCTTGCTCCTTGAGCTTCTCCTGAAGTTGGTCGTTGGCCCGGATCTTTTCCAGACGCATCTGAAGCTCCTTGAGGAAGAGTCCGATGAGGGCTATGCGGAGAGACATGGTGAGCTTGGTCGGGTCGGCCTTCTTCTGATTGCGCCATTCGAGCGCTCCCGCAATCAGAACTGGTACCATGGTGGCGTCGCCCGGGACTTGAAAGACCAAATAGTATCCGGTATCCGTCTGTAGCCGATTGAGTTGGTCGCCTTGGCGTAGGAGAAGGACGACGATCTGCCTGAGGAGCTGTTGAAGATCCTCCTGTGATAAAGTACCGTTGGAGGCCATTCCTTTGCCCTTGCCGCCGCCCTTGCTCCCGGTGCCTCGAGTCCACTGTTCCGCCCTCGGACGCTTGTTGGTCAGATGGGACTGATTGCGCGCCGGTGTTGGCGTTGGATTCAGAAGTGGTTTGAGATCCACGACTGAGGAGAGGCCCCCGAGGAGGCTCTGGATCTGGCTGTCGGCATCGAAGTCCGGCATGTCCTCCATTTCGACCTGAGACGTGGCTGGTAAGCATGTAGGCCTGAAAAACATGTACGCATTTGTGGGCATGCTGACGAGCATCCGTGGTGGTGGTACCACAGAAGCGGCACTTAGATACGGCAACTTTAGCTAGCTGCTTACACTCGGCCCGATATGCTGCGATCCACGGATTGGTTAATGCCTGATGTGCTTGGCATAATGCTGTTTGAGAGCACTGGCATCCACTGCCCATTGACCACAGAACACACACACATTCTTGAAGTCATGTTTTGTACGCCACATGTGAAGCACCTTGGTCCACGTGTACTTGTTGGCATCCTGCTGTAGCTGCGCGTTTTGGACCAGAGGTTGATCTCCAGTTGAAGGCATGGTAGTGGCAATGGTCGAGTCGGCCACCCATGCATGTTGTGTAGTACGAAGAGGATCTTCAGCCTTGTTTGTAGTCGCGGGCGCTGTTGCTGCAAAGGTGGCGGGATCTTCATGGCGAAGAATCGGGCAGCCGTTCCGCTGTATGTGTCTTTGGAGGCCACTCCATTTCGTGAATTTGTAGCCACAAAAACGGCATTGCGGAAGTCCGTTGATGGAGTAGACGGAGCGATCCTGGGGCAGCTCCCGTTTCGGTGCCAAGATCTTGTGGGCTTTGCCTTCATGGGTCTTCACCAAATGTAAAGACGGAAAAGACTGACCGCATACCTGACATCGAAATTGCTTGGTGTCAGCGGGTAGTTCCTGGAGTCGCACTTTCTGCTCCTGCGGCGTAACATCATCATGCGGAGCCTGCTGTACAGGTGTAGTCAAGGCGGTAGAGACCCGCTGTGTGCAGATCGGTCGGTCAATACCTGCTTGTAAGGCCTGAATACGTCGCAGTATATTGTCTTTGTCGTAGCATGGCAGATCCGTGTTGGAGCAAAGACGGGTATTTGCCGACTGAAGTCGTTGAGATAGCATCTGCCTGACCGATGCCATTTTGAGACTGTCCAACAATTCCTGATCAGTGCTGCGATCAAGATGCCTGGGTCGACCTGTAATGGCCCTGAGGTGACGAAGCATTTGAACATGTAGTAATTTGATCCCTGCCTCTGTGACACCTGTGGCCTCGAGTCCGTAGAGCTGGCTTGTCTGAATGCAGATGCGCCAGAGTCGAAGTCGTTGATGCCGGCTTATGCCCCCGCGTCCTTGCAGAATGCGACGAAGACGGGAATGGTGTATGGCAGCCTGTTGTACACGATGTTTGACACTGGCCAGCTCGTAATTGCGATAGGATAATATGACCCCAAGATACTTGAATTGGGTACCAAGCGGGATGGAGAGCTTGGCAAACGTGTCATAACGAAAGTGTTTTTTGTTCTCATCATCTTTGTAGACGTTCTTGGACAACCAAACATCAGCTGCTGTTCCTCGAATCTCGATCAACATGGTGGATTTTTCTGCGCTGATCTGAAGACCAAAGGATTTGAGCACTGAGAGTACCGTGGCGACCTCCATCTTCATCCGATCCAGGGCTTTGGGATCGTCAAGATCCCACTTGAAGTGAAGATCATCGGCGAAGGCAGTGGAGTGCTGGCATGTCCATGAAGCAGCGCCTCCCATTGTCGTGTCCAGGTGATGGAAGAGGTATGTTACGAACAAGAGCCACAAACATGGGGCAAGCATACAGCCTTGCCGCACGCCTTGAGCACTGTCAATATCCATCCAGGATTCAGGGTCGTCCACGTTTCCATGACGATAAGTGCCAGCCTGATGGACCTGTATGATAGCAGTGGCCAAGTCGGGTGGTACACCAGCCCATGTCAGCATGGTCATCATAGTGCAACGAGGTAAACTGTCAAAAGCTTTGGAGCAATCAACAGTCAACTGAGCACCACCGGTGCATACGGTTCGTACAGCGCCCTGTCGTCGTTCATGGAGTGAAAGTGTCTGCTGTTTGACTTTGGCTCGAACAGAATCACAGTGTTGGGCAATACGGGATATTGCATCCGTAGTGGTTCTGCCTCTGGTGTATGCGTACTGTGGACATTGGTGGAGCAGCTGCTCCACATACGGTTGCAGTCGCCAGCGTAAAAGGAGGGCCATGATTTTGGCAGGAGCCGGTTGTAGTGCAATAGGTCGAAGGTTTTCGGGCTTGCTGCTGGGTTTATTGGGCTTGCCCAGAAAGACAAGCCAGGACCTAGCAATGTCCTCGTCACCTGCATGTTCTCCTTCACCCCAATGCTGTGCCAAATATTCCTGTATAAGAGGAGCAATGTCAGGAGCACAAGCACGCCAGCTGCAGAGCGGAGCCGAGGTTGGGGCCGAGGCTTTGCGCATTGATAATTTGCTGATGGCCATTTCCACCTCCTTTGTGGTAATGTTGAGGCCATGCCACAGATAGCCGGAGCATTTAGGGAGTGTCGGAACATCAAATACACCGCGCCAGTAGTCATGAATCAGCCCAATTTCTTCCTGTGGTGTGCATAGTGTTCCATCCTTGTTACGCATCATAATGCGCTGTCGTGGACGACGTGGTGCAAGTCTACGCACAATAGCAAAGAAAGAATGAGAGTCATGTTTGTGGTAGGCCTCCTCCGCCTCGGTGAGCTGTTGGTCCCATTTATCACGTCGCGCTTTGTTGGACTGCGAATGCAGCGCTTTGCGGGCTTTGACAAGTCGCCAATGAGCACGCCATAGATGAAAGGCAACACGAAGTGGAGGCCCAAGGGTATGTCGGCGAAGCTGCGCACGTGCCTGCCAAACATGTTTCAGCGAGAGCTTAGTCTGTTCGTTATCCCATACTTCCGTCGGACGAGAGCCGAGGTGTGTGCTCGGGAAGAGGTCCTTGGATCCGTGTCGCAGGATGGCATCAATGTGCATAGGGTGCATAATTGCATCCACGGGCTGGTCCTGTAAAGCACAAGTCAGCCGGTTTCTGACAACACTTCGCAATTGCTCTACTTGCTGAGGATCGTGCAGTAGTGTGTGAGCCATGCCTAGATGGTCCATACGGGCTGTGTGGGACTGTGTCGAGGATGTCACTGCTTGATGATACGGATTCTTGAGAGTGATAACCGAATACACAGGCAGGTGTCGGGCCCCAGACCGCCAAGAAAACAGGTGAATCTGTGATTGTGGTCTGGATAGTTTGGCACGATGCCCGGAGTCTCTCTCTCGAACACCCAGGAAGTCAATCAGTGTAGAATATTCCGTACCCACATATGTAGCAGTTTTGGCCGGCGATCCCCAGGTGTTCAGAAGACAAAGACGGTGCTGTTGTACAATGTCCTGCCATTCGGATTGGTCCTGAGCAGGGTTGGTACTGACTTGAGCACCTTTGCCGACGAGCCTCGACATCGGGGAGATACCAGTATTGATATCACCACCAAAGATCAGGGTGTGCCGGGTCGGCACTGCATCCAGGCATTTTTGGAGCTTCTCCCAAAACCTGAGCCGTTTAGCGTACACCTCAGGACTGTGAGAGATTCTGGAGTGTTGATACGCGCACACAAGGGTGATGGGTCTGTGCAGGAGAGGACGTCGCTTGTCCTCCGTAATGCGAACCTCGAGGAGACGGCCTGGGAGCCATTCTTGATAGCGAATGTGTGACGATGAGGCAAGCTTGTTGTTGATCAGTACAGCTACACCACTGCCATTATTGGCCTTGGCAGTTTGACCGGCACCTGACAGGATCCAGTGCCAATGCTGCGTGGAGAATTCAGATGCACTTCTCCAGGTCTCCTGCAAGAATACAATCTGAACATTGCGAAGTGTAGGTGGTTGATTCAACCATTGTGCCAATTCGTCATATCCTTCCTTGCTCAAGCCGCCAACATTAAGAGTAACCACGCCAACATCACTGGACTGTATGGGAGTAACAGATTGTGCGGGCTGCTGAAGTGGCCAGGATGGCAGGTTTGGCACAGCAGTGCGAGGCCGGGCATACCGAGCCTGATTGGGATCATTCGGCTGTGGACCGGAACGGAGCGGTATAGGTTTTAGCTCATCGTGGTGTGTGTATAAGCGATTGCGATACCATGTGGTCCCATGCTTTTGCAATCGACGTTGTGCTCTGAGAAAACTGCGTTTGACGATAAAGTCTCCTTGTTCTTTGCGTTGTCGGTGTAGCTTCGCCTGATGGCGACCGGGGAGCACCGTTTGCGCGGCTCCCGGAGCACCCACCGAAGGTGCTCCAACCCTCGCTTCTACCCCTGAGGCTCTAAGAAGTTGAGACAGTAGGATGAGCATCCATAGTCCCCAGGGGCCCCCGGACTTGGGACCGGGGCGGCAATAGCGAACTGGTGGGGGGGTGTTTCGGAGTGTAGTGGTACTGAGTAACCTGAGGCAGACTCTCGTGTATGAATAGAGGCATCCACATGTGTAGCAGCACCAAGGGTGCAGGTATCGCATCCAAGAGACGGCGGTTTGCACAAAGTATGTACTCCAGTGACAGGTGTGTCGGATAGCATGCCGGGCAACAAATGTACCACATAAAAGCACTGTGGCAACAGCAGGGGCCTGATCGCATACGTTCCGCCATTGTGATCGTAGTGGCTGTTGTAGCAGGTACGAACAAGTCTCTGCAAGGCAGGAGTGAATCTGAGACCAGAACTCTTGCAGCAGGTATATAACCATCCATAAGATCACCGGACCTGGCAGAAAGATGTGGATAAGAGGACACTGCATTTTGTAGGCACCACGCAGACATCGAGCAACGATTGCCAGGGGATCTGACCGGGCTGGCACGATGCCAGCAAAGGTCCACCAATATATAAGGAGGACCATGTACAGACCTGTCACAGGTGCAATGTAGCTGCACAGAATAAAGCATGCGAGACAGCTGAGGGCTGCATACGGTGGACGCTTTTTCATATATGCAGAGGAGGCATTTGAGACCGTCGTAGGTGTATGTGATTGATAGCGAAGCATCCGCAACATCTGTACTCGAAGAAGCATTCTGCTGCTGCTGTATGCGTGCACGCTGTATAACACTGTGTCTCCTGCTGGCTGCGGATCTTTGCATCTCCTGAAGTTGATCGAAGCGGAGCTCCATGATTTCCTCCTGTGGGTCGGCACCAGCAGCTGTGTATGGGACCTTGCTCGGGGGCTTGCTCGGAGTACTCGATGCTGCAGCATTGTTCCCAGTGGCTTCATCCTGGCGCGAGGTTGTCGTAGTCGGAAGAGGAGTCATACTGGCCACAGGGTTTGCTGAGGTTGTGGTCGTTCGAGCAGATCCCTCGGAAACACCATCCTTGGCAGGCTCGCGGGCACCTGCTCTGGCCTTTTGGCGTCGTTTCCAGGGGGCTGAAGTCAGCACTGCATCAGCGGCTTGACGGCGAAGATCATCATGTTTGGCACGAGTGTCCTTTGGACCAGGAGCAGGAGTCTCCTCCGGGTTGTCTGTAGCATTTGTATCTGGCCTTCGGGGACGAGCTTTGGACTGGACTTTGAGACCGCATCTGCCCACCTGCACCGCCTTGTTCACCATTTTGGGGGGTCGCCTTGTCTGAGTACTGACCGATATACCACGGGCAGTTTCACGTAGACACCTTGGTGGCGTAGGAGGTCTTCTTGAGCTTCCTGTCCCGGGAGTAGAGGATGGGCTTCGAGCCCGAAGTCCGGTTTGTTTAATAAGGACCCCGTCCGAGAATTCACTGACCACTATACTGGATGCAACTGGTCCACGAGCTGTAGGATCATTTTTTGGTGTACTCGCCACGGCTGCATTCCCTGGGCCATCGGCGGGTTTGCTTGTCTTTGACTTGGCCTGTAGCTGCCGATGTCGTGGCAAAGGTTCACGTGGCCTAAGCTCACCAGCTGATGTACTGGCAGAGGCACCAGCAGTGGTGCGAGTCATCGGCGAAGAGGGAGTCTGATTATGCTGGTCGGAGTCCTGCTTGGGTCGACGTCTTGGCAGTGCATCTCTGACCTTAGCCCGCTTCGCCAAAGGTTCCACCATGTCGGCAGAGTCATGAGGCTTCGGAGCGCTGCGAGAATCTCTCCCCATGCTTGCAAGCACCACGCAAAATGGTTCAACTCTGCTCGTTAAGGCTACACAGAATAAGTATGGCCAGCACCACCATCTGTGTTCCGAGATGACATATATCACAGAATGCAGGAATCGACAATATCGCTGTAGGGCCTGATTGTGTACATACTGGCCATAGTAACCGCTGTAATCCCAAATGCAAACAGCAACATGCAAGTCGGAACGTGCAAGGGCTTGCACACCGCGAGTCACAACTGACCATTGTGATTGCTGAAGCAGTCGAGCCTGCTGGTGTCGACTGATAGAATCGGCTGGCCACAGACCTGGGCAGTGAGCAATGGACAGCAGGACAGTAGGGTGAGCAAGCACAGGGTGTGGGCCAGGGTCCGCGATCACAGGCAGCCACAGACCTTGACATGCATCTGTTGTTAGCCAGCGGAAGCTTTCGGAGGGTACACGTGAGGGCAGGTCGAGCCTTCCCCGGGTCATTGCTGTATGCAGGCTGCAAAAGTGTACATCAGAGGCAGAATGAGCTGTGGTCCAACCTGGCATATCATGGTAGGCATCCTGTGACATACGAGGGGACAACAGGTCCACTGCGTGCCTACAGGCTGGTGGCCCGTATAGCCTGATATAGTCCGTGCAACAGTGGGTGGCCGAAGCAATCCTGATCAAGGTCGCGGGCATTCCGAGCGATGCACGATGTATACTGGCCAATATGAATGCCCGAAGCCAGGACTGCCTCTCTGATAGTTGCCGCAAGGAAATACAGAATAGATACAGGTACGACCTTCCGGTGAGGTCAGTTGCTGCACTGGGCTTGTACAAGAACGTAGCTGAGTCCCTTGCCGTCGCGAAAATATCACAAACATATGGGCATGTCCTCTGTGAGGGGACAGAGCTGGCATAGGAATAAAGCTGCATAGCGTTAGCAGATCGAGATCCCGCCTCGTCCACGGAGTTTGCAAGTGCTGCACGGGGCGACAAGAAGGCCAGCCAAAGTACACGTATATCATGCACCGAAGATGCCAACTGTATCCATGTAGAATGTGCCGTCATATGGTCTTGTTGTCTTCGGGAGTCACATAAGCACATGTCACACAGGACAGACACGCCTACAGTGGGCCATGGTGGCTTGTTCCAACGATAACACGGCAAGCTGCACGCAAGTGAATCTGACAACTGCAGGCATCCGGCGTAGCACCGATGAGTAGCACATATGTCATGCTGCACTGTAGGAATTTGGCCTGAAGGCGCCTGTCGTTGCCTATTGGTGGTCTCCCGCGCCGGCTCAAGTGATTCAAAAAGCGAAGACCTGAGTACAGCAATGCAGAAGGCATCATGATGCTGGTAACGATTGTGTGTTGAGACAGAGACCAGTGTAGGTCCCACAAGTAGACTCCCTGAGGCACGAAACAGACCATAGCAGTAGCATGAGCATGCAGCATGGGGCCATGCATGAGTCGTCCTGCGTGTTGTGGATGGATGGAGCGGCCTCCACTGCACACACACCTGAGGGTCATCAGCAGTGCAATGCTTGCAGATAGAATAGGCACTAGAGGGCCTAGTCCATAGCATGAAGGTCTGCGGAGGAGCTGGCAGCGGTTGCTGTACTGCCTTGCCAAAATCGCACACTGAATACATACTGGACTGAAGCATGTGCGGTAGAGCCATGGGCTGGCCTGCATGACCACGCAACAGGAAATATTCTGCAAATCGCGAGAGTGCTATATCCAGCCTGTTGGTACTCATATGAGTTTCTGCTCGATACCGTACCGCCGCAATAACATCTTCCAGAGCGACAAAACAAATAGCCTGATTGAGGTTGTCGTTCAGCTGCGATAGAATCGTCGGCCATTCTTGGGCAGTCGTTGGGTCAGCCTCTTGCGACGAATACCACATGAATAGATCCAGTTGGTCGAGCAATTGCTGTAGCGGGGCGTGAACCGCAGAGTCCAGGCCGTGGAATAAATGCTCCACCGGATTGCAAGACCTCTCGGAGGCACTCGCTGCAGGCGGCTGGGGAGCATCAAGTTGCGTCTCGGACCCACATGGTTCCATGGTCGCAGAGAACAGAGTGCTCTCGCTCGAGTGCCCGTCCAGCTGTCCCGTGCCAATCTCTTCCAGAATAAGTGTATGTTCGGAAGGCGGGTCATCTGTCGGGACCGCTGTGGGCCTGCGATGCGGCCCTGCATGCACCACCGTCGTCCCCAAGGTAAGCCACAAGAGTATCACATGCCAGGAGGAAAACATCTCTGCTCAAATTGTTCGCCTATAAGAAGTCTCGAGCAGCAATAGATGTATATATCAACGGATAATGCTTGGCAGTCCAGGCCACCAATTGCAGAGCAGATGGCGACGGAAGCACCTCCGAGGCCCACAAAAGAACTTCAACTGCTGTAAGATCTGCCCAAACCTGTGTGGCCAAATGCAAAATCTGTCTTGAAAGGTCAGTGGAAGCCGGGAGCTCGTCCGTGAGTAAATCAATCGCAACAGCTCTGATATGCAGCGCAGGTGTCAGCGAAATTGTGTTGACAGCGAAGAGCCAAAGAACAGTCGCAGACCAAGCAGTGAAAATCAGAAAGCGCAGTGAAAAAGGAGTACTGGGAGCCAACGCAGAGTGCTCCGCAGCTCCTATGGCTGTGAAGCACCGGACGGCCGATGCTTCCTACCCCGCCCCTACCTACCCCACCCACACTCACAGAAAACAACGCTAGAGCCGAGAAGCTTTGCTGAGCATGTGCCACAAGGCGGGGCAGCGTGAACAAAAAGTATAGGATGATCACGAACCAAGTTGCGCAAGAAGTCCCAAGTGGAATCCTCCGTCAAGCTGAGATTGCAAACCTGCGCCAACGGGTGATGGCGGTTGTGCTGGTGGTCAATGGGCATTACGGGAACACCCGCTTCACGAAAGCAACGAGAGAGCATGGCGGTGCCAGCACAGAGCTCCAGGAAAAGAGGGTCTTTGTGACCCGGCACATCGGTCGCGGGATTAGAACCTGGTGACCCTGACAGCAAAGGAAAACGCGGCGGCCAAGGCAAGCGAGCTGGCAACTGCGGGTGCTCACGGAAATGCTCGACCTCTGGCGCGGTTGGCAGTGCAAAATCAAGGGAAATCACGCGTTGCGATGCTTCAAAGGAAAGCCCACCAAAGGCAGAAACCGAAAAAGCCACCAAAATGACCCGCCTTCCCTGCCACACATCAGTGAGGTGCATCTGCCTGCGTGCATCGAAGAGAACAGGCCCGTCCGAGACAGGCAATGCCACCCCTTGAAGAGTTGAACCATCAACGGTCCGAGCATGGGGACCCTTGCTGGACTGCACCCAAATCGAACCTTCAGCGAAACTTGACAAGGGGATGGCCAAATTTGGCAAGAAGGAATTCTGCTGGTCACGATGCGGGGATGTGCGAACACCAGCAAAAATTACTACGGTAGTGAACTTGTGTGCAGGAGCTGATTGCCTTACAAAAGCAGCCAACACCTGGGTAGACTTTGGAAAAACGGCAACATTGCTCCGGAGTCCCACCTTAACCTTGGCAAAGGCCCCAGTGGTAAAGGAGATGCCGTCACCGGAGCCACATTGCGGCGCAGCTTTCGGGAGGCAATCGAAAAGCTTAAGAACATCTGACTGCTCAATCCACTTCCCAAGCAAACCTGAAGCGAATTCTTCAGCGGATGGCAACCCCTTAGGCCCTGCATGCAAAGCGTCCCCGTCCCCTTCAGGGACACTGCTCTCAGATGAAGAGCGCACAAGAAGTTCGCCACTCTGTGCAGCATCTTTCTCGTCGGTAGTTTGGGCCATGGGTTGCGCAACTAGTCAATCTTTCTTGCGTTTGGGACACGTCGTGTATCCATGATCCCTCTTGAAACATCCTTTGATGCAGCAGATATGGAGTCCTCTATCACACTTCCCATTGGATACAGTTCTCTGGCAACGGCCTAAATTGAAATCGAAGCAGATTGGCAATCCACGTGTCGTAGCAGGAACTCCGTCTGCTAGCTCAGCGGGCATACGGACATTGCTCTTGCCCTTTCCTTTTCCCTTGCCTTTACCCTTGCCTTTCCCGGGCCTTCTGTCGTCGTACGGACCAGGCCTGAAAGGAGCAGGCGGGGCGGTAACCAAAGGCTGCAAAAGGTGCGTGACATTATTGCAAGTCATCGCCTCGCTCCAAATCTTATCAACCGGCTTCCCGTCAGAAACAAGTTGGATTCCATGCCGGGTGCGATCTGCTGCTTCAACAAACAGCTGCCGATCAGCCTGCATAAGCTGCTGCAAAGTCACACGTGCATAGCCGTCAGGCGGATCCCTGAAACGCGCGGTAAAAAGTGCTTCCACCCACCGCGCGTGCTCCGAAAAGGTGACTATCCCTGCTTGGTCCAGGGCCAAACCTCGACGGGTCAATGCCAGCTTGAGGAGAAGGTCTGAGGACACATCAGCATCAACCTTCGCAACCTGGGTGCGTAGAGACACATGACCGGCACCATCGACGGACAATA